CTATGATAACTAAAGTATGTTACCAAATGTTAGACTTCCATTTATTAATTTAAAAAAAAAAAAACTGCATTAGTGGTAGCATGCTCTTTCTTTGGTTGTTGGAACATACCCACATACCCACATACCTATCATTTTTCATTTCCAAACCAAATTTGTCTTTAAGGTCAATATTGCTTCTATTCCAGGTTCTGAAGAATTCTGACTAGAATCTCTTTCATAGCAGGATTACATGAATCTAAGAGCAATCAGTTTTTTCCAGAGTGAATTTTTTTGTGAACAATGTTTGTGTATTCGCGAAAGTAGTGACAATCAAAATTTTGCAGTGATTAAGTTAATGAAATATATGTGACAATTAGAATTAATTTGGTTGAATTTTATGTGGCTGTGCACTCTGCAGCACAATATGTCTCCAATTGTCTTTGGTCAGGATTACCTAAGTAAGGAGCTTACCTAAGTTTTTGTCCAAATGGTAAGTGGACTAGCAATATCAAATCAATCTTTTTAGCTAAATCAAAGATCAAGTCTTGTCAAACTAACCGAACAGATAATACGACTAATTTTCACCAGGAAATTAGTCGTATTATTAATTTACATCAAATCTTCTAAACGAACAAATTTAATTGATATACGACATAGACATTACACTACATGGACTGCTAGACCTCATATGTTTTTCGTTGTATTTGTATAGTGCTCAAACATAGATGGGTATGTGACGTCACATGTCTGAGCGAACATTGCCGACGACAATCGCAGACTCTCCCGATTGATCAAATGTCATATGTCATATGTTTTATTTTAATAATATATTGTTTCTCTGGTGTCCACCTTGTGCTAGCCGAATTAGAAGTATAATTTCAAACTCTTATTGGAGAATAATTATAAAAAACAGATATTTTTTAAACAGTTGTGGCAGATTGATTCGAAAGCATCATAGACAGTTTAATATCATATTGCTCTGCATACTACACCTTGTTCACACTAAAGATCAAATGTATGTTTTTAATGAAACTTCAAGGGACTAATTCTGCCGCATAATAGACCAATATTATGCCAATGCCATGCTTCGCTTCAACTTCCATATATTATGCTACTAAAGCATACTGAATACTGTCAAAATGTCATGTATTTGCTGTGCATTCAGGAGTTTTACACATAAACTGCAACGTCACTTGTATGTTATGAAGCTGGGTCAGAAAGACCCTGTTATCTAAGATCGTTTTTTTGACATTTGTGCGGTTTCTGAGTTAGGTTTTCCATCTGACAATCTGAGAAACACGCATGACAGCACAGCAACTATATGGCTTTTGTCAACATTTAGTATGGAAAGTTCTTTATAACATGGCCTTGCCATAATATTGGTCTGTTAATTTTCAAATTTGGGTACAACTATCTACTACTCGACTATTGTAGTGTTATATAAATCCACCTTAAAACCACAAGGTACTCGGTTCGATCTCACGCTCTGTACTACATAATCGTATCACACAATGTTGATCAAATTACTCATCATTCTCTTCCTCAAGTTGGAATTCAGAGCTGTACCATATTCAAAAGAATTTTACATTAAAAAAATCGTATTCTTATATTGGTTTAATTCTGTTTTTGATTGTGAACTGGTATTATTCCGATTTGAGTAATAAATAATCGGATTTTTGTCACAGAATGCACTCACTCACTTTGAACGAGTGAAGGCAATTTTAGAAAGGAATACATTTAGCCAAAAATCGTGATCACGATCATGTGAGGCAGTCTCTAAATTATAACGATGAAACATATATATGTAACATAGAAACATATATATATATATATATATATATATATATATATATATATATATAGTAGGGTGGACCTTAATATGGATGTCTCCGAATTTTCTTGCTCCCAGGCGCTCAAATGCTTCCAAATTGATAAAAAACAATTCTCTGAAAGTTTTAGTTCTTAATATTAACTGTTAGATAGTTCACACTCCAATCATAGTTTCTTGGTTTTTATTCCCATGTAAATACTTATTTTATAAAATATATCAAATTTTTGTTGTATTTTTTATTTATGAACAAAATAAGAAAATACAATGTTATTCTCAAAAGTTTGATTCACTTGTCGCTCAGTTGTAAAATTCTAAAAAACAAATGGAATTTTACACATGTTATTTCCATAAGAAACTTTGGTTGGAGTGCGGACAATCTTAAAGTTAAAAGAGCTAAAACTTTGAGAGAATTTTTGTCATCCATTTGAAAGCATTTGGACCCCTGGAAGCAAAGAAATTCAAAAATATAATATTAAGAACTACCAATATAATATTAATAATATTAAAAATATTACATTTTTCTTTATGGATATAATAAACTAATATTGTCTAGGCTCGCTTAAACTAAATTCAAGTTTCAAGAGAATCGACATTTTTGCAGATGACAGTTTTCATGTATCAAAATGTTTTTAATATCAAACAATGATATGTTGTTTTTTGCCATTTTTCCATTTATTTCTACAATCTAACTATATTTATATAATTCAAAAAATCCTAAAAAATTCCCTTAACAAACTTCAGAAAGATTTATCAAAATCCGAATAATCCTTTAAGAGCAGTATATACATCATTACAGAAGAATTTTATATATAAGATATGTTTTTTTTTCCGAACTAATATATATTTTTTCTACAATGCTTTTAATCTCTTTATAGAATTTTTTGGTGCTAATTATTTTACGATTAGTAATGATATTAATATCATATTGTGGTTACATCACATGTGATAATTTTTGTAAATTATTACAACACGTTTTTTTGCAGAGATGATTTAATAAAAACTGCAGATTATATAAATAGGCCCTTCACTTTAAATTAAGCCGTTACGTGTTCGATGCATCGGATTTTTTAATTCGCGTCATTACCAATTTATTGCCAAGTTCAAATGTCAGCGAAAGTGACGTTCAATTGATACGGAACCCGTGAGAGGAAATAAAAGTTTGGTTGAGACATGAGAACTTCCCGAAGAAGAAGTTTATTTTCGCCAGAAAATCAGATTTGATAATTTTATATTTTCTCAACGTTTCAAGTCATTCTGAGTCGAATGAGTTCAAAACTGGAAAAAGTATGATTGTGTGTTTCCCAAAATCAGCTAAACTGGTTTGAAAAACTTAAAAGCCATTCGATGTGTTTCAATAACAACTTGCGTTGACTAGTTTTGCACAATGATCAGCAACGCCATTTCTTTGTAATTAGCAAAAATGGGATTTTTTTCCGTACAAAAAGGCTTTTTAATAATATTGGTTGCGAATCGCGGTGATTAGTTTCGGGTAAAGATCGGCTGGGCCGTTTCTTCGTAATCAAAAATATGATGATTTTTTTTATTATGGTTATATTAAACGATAAGTGGACTAATTTTAAAAACTGATCCATGTTTTTTAAAATTTTTGTCGAAAGCAGCATTTGTGATGTGATGAGTCAGAATTTGAATTTCAAAAATTGCGAATTTTATGCAACTTGTCTTAAGACAAAATGCCATTTACAACTGGTTTGTAATAGTTTATAACTGAAATAGAAAGTAGTAAAATATAAATAATTAACTTTTCTTAGGGTAAGTAGGGTGCACAAATCAATATATTTGAATGATTCAGAAAGCATGAGATGTGCTGATTATTTTTTGGCAAAGGCAGGTCCTACCGTTACGGAGATACGAAGCAAAGAGTGCAGGAAATAGAAATAAAGTTTTTGAGAGAACGGAGCATCCGATAATCTAAAATGATCTAAAAAACATTCAATTTGCAATGATGGGGAGAGATGGTGATTAGTTTTTGGCAAAGACAGGTCTAGCCGTTTTGGAGATACGGAGTTAAATGTGTAAAAATGACAGTTTTTGAGAGAACTAAGCATCTGATTTGAGTGATTCTAAAAACTATCTGCTTGTGTTATCGAAACAATTGCTTTTGAAAAAATTGGTGTTATTTTTTTTTTAATTTCCAAAAAATATATTTTTTGAAGTAAATTTTGTTTTTCGAATATTTAATTATGGTACGGGAAGTACAAGTCCAGCAATTTGCCTTTATAAATTAAAATTTATAATTAAAAATAAAATAATGTGTTTATAAAATAAATAATTATTTATTCATAAATAAAAACTACATATATACAAAATTATTCTAACATTATACACATTCCTAAATTTATTGACTATTAGTAAAACAACCTAACAATATTCTTACATTATTATCAAAAAAAATATCGCGAAAAATAATTTTGCAAAATAATGGTTTAATTCTCCGATAAAATGGAAATGTTATGGTAATGCTATGTTACGGGTCTATCTTCGTATGAGTTGGGAGTAACCAAGTGTCAAGAGCTTTTTATTTGCGTGCGATTAAGCATTTTACACATAAAACCTAACCTCCAAAAGGTAGACCTCAAATAACAATCTTATCATAAGTCCAACTTTCTGATGTGCCTTTGATAACTCATACGTGAAGTTAGGTTTTATGTGTAAAAAGCCTGATAGCATAGCACATACATAGCTTTTTCAGTCAGTGAGTACCAATTCATACGAATATAGACCCGTAACCTAGTATTGCCATAACATTTCTATTTTATCCGAGATTTGGTTCCTGAATCTTGCAAAGTAATGGAGGAATTTAGTTATTCAAGAAATATCATACGACATTAAATAAACAAAAACAAATTAAGAATATATAATGAACTAGTGGTAAAAACAGGAGATGCAAGTTAACATTTTTAATTTGCATTGACCAAAAGTTCTCCTGGATCTGTTTTGAGGTTTTTAGATTTTCTGCAAAAGTAAGACGATTTTAATTTTAATTGACCAAAAGATCTTTTGGATCTGTTTTAAGATTTTCAGATCTTTTGCAAAAGTTAGACGATTTACACAGAAAAACAAGAATACATTGAGAGAGAAAAAAAGCTTCTGCTGACATATATGCTTTAAAATGTTTCAAAACACAAGATCTATCCACCCTGGTTGACCAAAAATCCTCCTGATTCCATTTCCATTCCCATCATTTCCACTTATCTCCTCCTGTGTACGAAAGCAGCGTTTCTGATCATCTTGAAGATCTGCTCCCTCGGGATCTTCTCGGCTGCTCGTTCGACCACTGGCATCTCCTTGTTGGTCAACCAGCTTTCCTTGGCTAAAGATGCTGCAATCCTGGGGTCGTTGTAGAACTGGTTCTTCAATTGGGCTGGGAGCAGCGATTCCTGCTGCGCGTTGTATTCTACTGCACGGTGGGAAGGCACCTGATGGAAGGAGGTAGATGTGTTATGAATGGATTTATATGGATATATTTATCTTTTAATATATTTATATATTTATATATACTAGCTGGGCCAGCGGTGGCGATATCGGTTCGAACGTGGGCTAGCAGCAACTAGTCCTGGGTTCGCTGGTTCGATTCCTGCTACCGCCGTAGCCCGACTTCGGCAACTTTGATGTCAATTTTCCACTTGAGGTTATAGATCTCATATATAGCCTCAAGTAAAAATCGCATCTCGTCGGTATGGTTGCATATGTATAATAAAAATGTCAGCGAATACTTCGAGTATAGTTAATTAGTCATAATTGGATTGGACAACTTCTGGGTTGCCATTCATTCAAAAATCCATATAATGAAGTCAAACAATTACTGAATGTACAAAGGGTGATAGATTGTAATTAAATTATTATATATATATATATATATATATATATATATATATATATACATATACTGATTGTAGTAAAAGTGGAAGCATGTGGTATATAAGTGAAAGGTGCAGTTGACACACATTATAGGGATGGTTTACCCACTGCAAAGCATGCCACATATAAATGTTGCTGGAGCATATTAACATTAATTGCAAAATACAGTCTAATCTAAAATCAAATAGAATTGGCTTATTTGGAGATTCAAGGTTCTGATATATTGTTACCGCCCTTTTTATTAATTCAATAAATTTTGAATTATGAAGCAAAATCCAAACATTTGCTGTTTGATACAATTTACTGGATCAAGTTAATTGGCCATAATTGATGGAGCAAATTAATTTATTAAGATAAAAAATATTTTGATAAAAATTCAGTGGCTTACGTTCACAAAAAGCCGAAAATATATGGAGCTAGATGAACAAAAAATGATTGGACTACATGATTGGAAAGTTGGCCTTAAAATTAAAAAAAAAAAATTGGCTCTAAAATTTAGACTAAAATTCAGTGAAAAACATTCAGGGATGAATTCTCAGAATAAATAATAATGTTATGTTATGGTGTTATAATATGAGTTGGTAATAACAAACTGTCAAAAAACTAGGTATTTGCTGTGCGATCAAGCATTTCACACATAAAACCTAACCTACAAAACATAAAAACAGAGGGTCTATTCAACACTAAAAAGAGGGTAAAGCATAATTGTTCTATGTTTACCACCAATTGTGTCCGGTAATTTTCAATTTGAAGTAAAATAAGTGAATTCGAATTGATAAAATATGCGCATCAACTTGTCTACTTGAAAATTAGCATTTACAACATTATTAACATTTACATTAATTCAAGGAATTTGTGTTGAAATGTTTTTCAAGTACTTTTGACAAACGGATTTGGTTTTTCCATACAAATCAAATGCACGATTTTTCTACAATTGATTAAAAAGAAACAATAAAAAAACTAATCACGATAAACGATATATGTACTTAGCAGAAAAGTTTGCACTAACATTGATACAACTAACCAGTCTATGATCATGAATTTTTTCTTTTTTTATGTAAATAGAATAAATAATGAGAATTTTCTGTCACAAAAATGAAGAGAGAGTTTTTAGTATTATTGTAAATTTTAAAGTATTTTTGCAAAGTGGCTTGTGATAGCTACGGTGTCCGCTTATATACATTTTTGTGGAACAAAACATTCATTATTTTTCCTATTTATAAAGATATTCATCATTATTAACAGGTTAGTTGTATCAATATTAGTGCAAAATTTTGTGCTGTGTACACATTTTTAGATAGAATAGAATAGAATAGAAATAGTTTTGTAAAGTAAAAATACTACATGAAATTAAAAAAAAATGTATATGCAATTTTCGACCAATAGCGTTATTTATTAAACTGAATTATATAATTTCATCTGCCAAACATATACTGTTGACTGTACCTTATATTATTTTAATTTCTGGCACATCGCAGCTGCATTTCGGCTCTAATAATGTAGTCATTACATTTTTCTTATATATTACATTCGCATATCATCTAGGCTCATAATTTCACCTAAATTCAAATTTCAAGTGAATTGACATGTCTAGCAGATAACAGTTCAAATGTTTTCAATGTCAAATAATGATAAGTGTTTGTTTTGTAATTTTGCCATTTATTTCTATATTATTACAATAGTTTGATCGTTCATTAAATCTTAAAAATTATCTTTGACAAACTCTAAAAAGATTTATCAGAATCCGAATAACCGTTTAGGAGAGTATTAAATCATACACCCGTACAGAAGAATTTTAATATATAATATATATATATATATATATATATTTATATATGTGTGTATGTATATGTGTGTTTATATAATACCTATTAACCTATATTCCTCATCATATATGTCAATTTCTTCGCAAGTGTGCTCTCTCGTGCGTAACAATTTATTACTCAGTACCAAGAATGTGGAATAATAAAAGTGTATAAAACGATGATACCGACATTTTTTGTTGTTTTTCGTTTTCGGTTAAATAATTTATAGCGATTTATTTTTAAAGTCGTTCACTCGCTAAAGAGATAAAGATGGACAGAGAGAAGCAGCTTTCAATATTTTTCGGTAATACGAAAGATTTTGTAAGATCGCATTCCGGAAAGTGAAACTTTTCGAGTACTTTGCGACATTACATTATAACGATTTGTTTAGAAATATAATAAAAATTAAACGTTGCAACTAGATATCTTCATTGGATAACATTTTATTTGTATATGATCGATTTTTTCAGTATTAATAAAATTATTTTTAAAACTGTTTTTACTACCTTCATACTTTTTTAGGGTCACAGTAAAGTTGTCAGGAATTTTTTATTTGTTATAGACTCTTTGTCAACTATGAATTTAATTTTTTAAAATAGGTCTACGAGAAAAAGGTTTCTTTTAAAACTATATCAAGTATTTTACTATTTTCCAATCCTGATGAAACTTGCCAACGCACTTTAGGGTAGTTTTTTTAAAAAGGAGGCTTTTCAAAGTCGACATATTTTGAAAATTTTATTTTCATAGTTTGACAAAAATCTTACAATTAATGGTGCTTGGCATCGTGCCTTAAGGCAAATTGCCGGAACTTTCCGTACCAAAAATTAAAAATTTTGAACAGATTGAATTTCTTTTAGAACTTTGAGAAAAAATAGATTTTTGAAATTTTTAAAATTTTGAAAAAATTTACCTTTTGAAAAATTTGTTTTTATATACTTTGAAATATTTGGAAATTATGAACTTTTTTCAAAGCAACCGCGATACGTTAGCTGCGTAGAAAACGAAATATCGAAGCGCATGGACGCCGCGTCGTTGTATAACGGATAAACGTTGGTACGGAAACTATAAAAATGTAACAAAATTTGTTTTTTATCGTTAAAATATCTATAAAATATATGATAATTTTGATGTGCATGATCATTTTTGGCCGCCAAATGGCATTTTATCACTTATTTATTGAATCTCCAAACCGCTAGTCCTGTCTTCTTGTGAAAAAAATCACAAGTTTTTTATTTCGTTAAAACAAATAAAATGTTTTATGATTCATTCAAATCGGACGGTCCGCTCTCTCAAAACTTAAATTAGCATTTTTGGTTGGCACTTTTTGCCAGTATCTTCAAACGGCTAGACCTGCCTGCCCAAAAGCTAATCAGCACGTCTCCTTATCAATAGGAATCGCATGTTTTTTGATTCATTCTAATTGGTTGATCCGTGTTCCCAAAAACGTCGACGATATATTGTATTCGCACATACATACACACACACACATAGACATTCATTTTTTCTAAGGTAATGCCAAAATGTT